CCCCCCAATCATCGGTGAACGAAACTGTGGCAGCTACAACCAGTGTACGACGAGTACGCGGTTCTTACAGCTGACAATGATGATGATGATGCTCTAGCCACTTGGTCCATCTCGTCCCAGCTCCCACAACAATGGGAGCTGCCCATGATGAATAGTTTACTCGCTGGATAACTCCGGATTCCTGTGAACGAAAAAGTTCATTCTCCACGGTTGCGAGAGTTGCAAATGGTACGGGACGCTTCGGTCTGAAAATTGGTGTGGAATCAGGTTGGAGTTTGAGACTTGCCTTGTTTTTGGTAAAGCATCCAAGACCACTTTGGGAGACAGTGTTGAATTTTGTTTTTAGTGTTAGTAAAGTGTTCTGCAATGTCTGATAAGGATGAAAATTTCAGAGCACTTCACACAGATGATAAAGGTACACTGAAAAAATCAAGTTTCTCAATCCAACCAAGTCGAAGAATGTTCATATTAGGACAATCAGTGAGAGGACAAGTTCCTGGAACTGTAGATTGTTGAATGATACATTACAGGCTAACTTGCCAGTCAGTAGTAGGCTAATGTTAGATGCACTTCGGGCCCGATGATTCGTGAGTGACACAACAGGTTTTCCCATCAACTCCCAATTGGAACGTGAGATCAGCGTAATATCTGAAGCTGTGTCGAGCTGCAGACGGATTGAACTTTGTTGATGGAAACTGTAAGGTATTTCCTTCGAGACTCCAATCCAACTTGGAATGTCGCAAAAACAGATATGGACTGCGGACGTTTCTTGCACGACTGCTTTTTGACTGTTGCTGATTGGACTGTCGAAGCTCTTTTGGTTTTAGGGTGCGGAAGAAACCTTCTTTGTGGCCCCACCGATGATACGTCTGGCACTGGTGCTTCTTGAATGGACAGAAACGTGCATAATGCCACTCGTCACAAGACCAACGCGGTGTTGGCGGTTTTTCTCATGTGTAACAGTGGGACACCACTGGTATTACTAGGTCGTGACGTATGCTGTGCCATTGCGGTATCGTGTTTAAGATTATGCAAACGTTGCGAATATCTGATTCCTGCGGAGACTGAAGACCAGCAACGAAAATTAGACACTTAAACTGATCTTCTGTAAGGACTGCAATTGAAATTTTTCACACTCACGGTTGGCGACACCAGCAAAAGTAACGTAATCGTCGGCGTCGCGCTTGGTCAATTTGAGACAATTGTATCGGACATTAAAAAGTGAATGTTGGTCACCAAACATTTCACGGGGTTGTTCCACTGTTTGTGCAAAGTTCAGATCCTTTGTATGTTTGGGCTTGGGCAACCTGGCAGTATACCAGTCTTCGTGCTTCCTTCGGGTGGCATCGCAGCTAGGCACCGGAAGGGTGCTACAGCTGAACGCCTTTTTTGTGTGTTTGGGAAGCATAAAGTTTGTGAACCGATCGTGCTCGAGGGTTCCAAGTTTCCGGACCTAGTGATGGGATTTACACACATCATCTTTGTCGGTAAACTCATTCTGAAATGTATCTTCCCACGACCGCACCCATGAGTCAAATGTGAAACCAGATGCTGGTTCGTAGAGAAATTCGGCAAGAGTTGCTTAGATAGAATCGGCAAAGGATAGTGAAGTACCAATTTGAGATGGAACCGATGTCTGAAGACTGATATCTTGAGTAAGAGACTGAATAAGTCGCAATTGCGATTGTTCGGACTGTGCTTGTTGCTATTGAAAGATTGATTTCAGATCCTCAGCTGAAATTGACACGTTTTTGTTCGCGTTGGGTTCCCATCGCCAGTGTTATATCCTCTTTGATAATACATCAGTCAGACACGTTAGATCACCTAAATGGAGAATGCAAACAACTTCGAGGAAGTTATACCGTGAATAAGTGGATCGTTCCGTGGTACGGAATTCAACTGAACCAGAATATAAAAACAGCTAACAATCCAACGGGTTTGAATGAGAGACTGAAATGTAGAAACAAGGTTTCAGTATACAAGACAACTCGTTAGTAAATTGGATTTGTTCGTTTGGAGGTAGTCCTCCTAACAAGGATCCATACTGATTTATGGATAAAAGCCTGGCCCCTATGCGCAGAGGTCATACGGAAGATGTCAGTGCCTGACCATTGGTGTCTTTGAAGCATTGATCAGGTCTGGTGGGAACATCGGACTAGTAATGCTGATGTGCACCAGATGATCTCAGGAAGAAGGAACTCTCCTACGATAGGTGATTACCTACGCTTCATGGGTTACGCTGGTTGGGACATATGTTTCGCCGTCTGCCTCGCAAAGTTCTTTCTGCCAATCCCTGTGCAGAATGGAAGCGACCAAGAGGTGGGCAGTGTATGACCTGGCAAAGGAGTATGAGAACACCAACCAATAAACTTGGTTGGGTTAACAACTGCTGACCCCCTGGATGGGGCCCCGGGGACTCATTCCACCGATGGTTAATGAAACTGTCAGAAGTAGCCCAATCACGCAGTCTGTGATGCTCGTTCATCAAAGCTATCGCCTTCAATACTTAGCTAATCAGTTCCCGAACTAAGCAAGGTTTGGTTGTATGACCCGCACCCTCTTGTTTTCCGGTGATCGAAACTGTAGCAGCTTAAACCAATATGCCTATGGCACACAGCTGATAGCTTTACCGCACAGTTTTAATTTACTTGAAAGCCTTATTGTGATCATCATCATCATTGTCAGCTGTACTCGTCGTACACTGGTTGTAGCTGCCGCAGTTTCTTTCATCGATGATTTGGGGAGAAGGCTAGGTAGCTGCGCATTGCATGCGGGAGCTGATAACTTGGTGCATAAATCTAGCACTGTCAGGGGGCTGTCAAGTGAGGTGGGGGGATTGGAAAAGGAGCTATGCATAGCTATGCAATAGCTTGAATGCACGAGCACCATTGAGGGCGCGACTGGGCCATGTCTGACAATGTGAAGGGAAGAATAAAATCAAATGGGGAGTTAACTTAGTCATAGCTTACCATCATTATCATCATCCTCACCATCATCGTCGGAGACACAGGTATCCCATTGCTACGCAACCAGAAATTTAGTTTAGTTTAAATTGAAAGGACGAGAAAAGAGTGTATGAGGAAGGGGCCTAGTACTATAAATTTTAATGAACTACTCGTAAAGTTTCTGAAGATTCGTCGACAGCCCACGACCGGTTTCGCCATTCTTGGAGCTCATCAGGTAGGCATCAATCTTATGCTCTACTTGAAACCAAGAAGGGCGAAACCGGTCGTGGGCTGTCGACGAATTTTCAGCAACCTTATGAGTCGTGCATTACGAATATACATGTATCACGGTTTCTCGAATATCGTAGCGACTGAAACATAAGTCGGCCTGGTGCAGCACATTCGGTTTGTTTGGAAACATCACAAACATGATATTCAGCTAGGTTCCAGGTGAGTCTATCGCAAAGCCAAATTAGTTTGCAAATGGACTTGGTACTAGTCTGTCGCAGGCATTTTAAGGTACCTACACCTCCAAGCGCTCAATCAGACAGTCTGGAAAGAAACTGACAGCATGAATATCATTGATCCAGGTTAGCCTCCATTTCTTGCAATGTTTCCAGCCGAGAGTGGGGTAGGGTCACGGAGACTCCGTATTTAAAGACTCACTTCGCCGAAAACAACTCTTCTCACTCACAACACATGGATGGCATCGGAGTATGTTATATTCGAAAATGGGGGCGAGATGGACCAAGTGGTTAGAGCGCGGATTTACTGACCGGAAGGTCCGTGGTTCGAACCCGACCTCTGCCTCTCGACTTCCCCTGTCTAGGCTTGGGCAACCTGGTAGTATCCCAGCCCTCGTGCCTCCTGGTGGCATGGCAGCTAGGCACCGGAAGAGTGCTACAGCTAAACGATTTATATTCGAAACCGAATTCGGCAAGTAAGTGGTTTTATCGCGCTGGGCGTATATGATTAGTGTTCCGAACCAACCATTACCGCTTCACCTCGAAGGCTAAGTACATTTACTCATTTGCGTGTACTTGCGGTAAACCTTGTGTAGAAAGAACTCAGCAACGGCTAGAATTGTCTGCAACTGTGATCAAGTGAAGCCCAACTCACCTCTGCGGTTCGAAATGGCCCTTCAGGTGGTCGATAATTGAGTTCTATCTTTATGTACTTATCTTCCTCTGTTTGGTATAATATAGAGGGGTGGACCAATTCTGCTTCATTTTTCATGTTTCAGACTATTTGCTGTTGCAATACGCCAATGATTCGTATCGATGCTCGCCGCGTACTAACACAGCTACCACTGTCATGCTCCAGTCAGTCTTGCTGACAAACGTTTTCGGCGGAGACCAACATAGTCCTGGCAGCTTTTGCCCTACGAACAGATACTACTCTTTTCCGGTTAACAAAGACTGCCCAATGGATCCATTCATACCGGTCACTTCCTCCTGTGCCCATCCATTTCCTCGTAATGATGCAACCGATTCGGAGCCGTCATCTTCTGATTCTCGGTATTCGCACTTATCGCCGCTCATTTCTACGATTCCACAGGATTTCCCCATGGGGTGTCGGAACATGCTAGATACTTTCGACTCCTATTCACATCACTTACCCCGCAACGAGCAGATGCAAACCAATATGGAAGGAGGGGAAACAGGTCATTTTGTCACCACTCCAGAATCATCGGAAGGTATGAAAACTTCGTGGATTAGTCCATCGCAGAGGCCCTGGAATACTCTCCACTACTCCACTGATTTGATGCGATCTTCAGCGTGTACTGTGAACTGCCCCACTCGGTGAGTTATGCTTGGTTTAGTCACTAATGCTACGCTAATTCTACTTCGGACAAGAACTTTGAAGCAATTTTCCGTCAATCACTCAAAACAGGGTCTGTTGCAGAAATTTCTTCGTCTAATTACATGAAGATGACCACCATCATGCAATGACTCTTTAACCACACATCACATCTTTTTCCAAGCATGCACTTTCACTTGTCGATAATCTTAATTAGCCCTGAATATCGCTGCTCGATATATCTGTAACAGCTTTGTTCATGTTTTCTCATCCCTAATTGGATGCTTCTCTTGCCGGACCACATTTCCATAGGAAAATTGGTCCACTAGATCGCCATTATGCTGTATCTATCAAATGCCTAAGACGACATTCAACATAAAATGATGAAACTGGACGGGCTATGCCGGCCGACATAACTGGCAAGCGAAAGCAGAACTTGGCCCCGTGTTTAGGCAGCAAGCCAGGTCCCTTTCCAGCTCACAGAGACTCTGACCCCATGAAATCAATTTGTTTAGTTGTGGCAGTTAGTGGGAGAGCCACTCAGTGAAGGTGATAGTTTTGAAGCATGCTCCCCC